TAGGTGGCACAGCAGATAGCCAGGCCTGAAGTCAGGAAGACTCATCTTCCTGAATTCAAATCTGGCCTCAGACACTTACTAGCTGTCTGATCCTGGGCAAGTCACTTAACTCTGCCTCAGTTTCCTCATCTGTAAAATGAGCTGGAGAAGGAAATGACAAACCATTTCAGCATCTTTGCCAACAAAACCCCAAATGGGGTCATAAAGAGTCGGACATGGCTGAAAACAAATGAATCAGCTTTACATTAAATCTTGGAGTTGGAAGAGAACTTAGAATTCTAGTCAAACTTCCAACCAACAGAGGAATCCTCTCTGTAACAACCACAACAAATGGTGGTCATCCAGTCTTAGGCCTAGCACTTCCAGAGTGACAAGAAACTCACCTTCTCATAAAGACAGTCTCTGTCTGATAAAAGAGGGCTGTATTTTTTTTTTAATATGCACTCCATGTATTTTGAGCGGCAGATATAGTAGGACTGGGAAGCAGGAAGACTTGGATTCAAATTCCACCTTTGACATACACTGGCTAGGTGACCCTGCTGGGCAAGTCACTTAATCTCTAGGAGTTCCACTCTCTTGATGCAATCACAGTTTCAGTACCTATGTGTATTTTATAGCATACTTGAGGCTCTAGAGCAACGTATACTTATACCTAACTTACTGGGCTTGTGGCATAATGTTAATAATTTAAATGATTCTAGAAGGTTATTATATCTGTTTTTGGAACTAGGGTTTGGTATAAAGAGGAACAGTCTTGAGGTTAGAAAGGCCTCAATTCAAACTCTGTCCCTGACACACATTAGCTGTATGACCCTGGGCAAGTCACCTGACCTCTCAATACCTGAAACGATCCTTTCATTCTTTGTACTTATATCCCCATGGCCTACCTCAGTTCCTGGCACAAGGTAGATCCTCAATAAATACTTGTTAATTGACTGATAAGTTATAGGCAATTTATGAAGCTATATCAGTAGAGGGAGTTTCTACACAGGAAGAGACATTTGCTAATAAAACCACAGCTTTGAACCAAAAAAAAAATCTTTGCTTTTATAACATATTGTTAATCAGAGTTTGATTTATTCAGTACAAAGTCCTTGGCTAGGTACACTGTATGGAAAAACCCAGTCTAACGGCAATGATCTACTTTATGATGTGGTTACCAGAAATGCATTGTGGGGAAAAAGTAAAGACTGCCTGAACCTGTAAATCCCTTAGTAAAAGAGAACAATTTAGTCTACTAAATACGGGTTTTTAGAAATAATTGTACCTCCATTAGCCTCACCCATGTAACTAGCAATTTTTATGCCCAGAACAATTACCAGGATTGGAGGGAGAGCAGAGAGGCTCATTTGGGGTATGGCTTAGGGAGGCAAGAGGCAGCCCAAAGGCACCTCAAAGTTTCTAGAATGCTGAAAGGGGAGGAGGCTGTAGCTACTACCTGGGGCTTATAGCACAGATAACAGACTGTGGTGCGTCTGTGTGGCCTCTTCCTGACCTGGGGCAAACCCTTCATGGCCTTGCTCTAGTAAAAGGCAATTAGGTAGTACAGTGGAGAGACTGCTGGGCCTGGAGCCAGGAAGGTCTGAGTTAAAATCTGACCTCTGACACTTAATAGTTCTGTGGTCCAGGGCAAGCCACTTCACTGTTGTAGACAACTCTCAGTTTCTTTAAATGTAAAATGGGGATAATAATAACATCTACCTTACCGGGCTACTGTGAGGCTCACGTGAGATATTAGTAAAGTGACTGTTACATAGTAGGAGCTTAAGAAGTCTTGGCTTCATTAAAACAACTGAGATACTACCTTACACCCATTGGATTGGCTGACATGGTAGAAAAAGAAAATGAAAAATGTTGGAGGGGATGTGTGAAAATTGGAAAACTAATGCACTGTTGGTGGAGTTGTGAATTGGTCCAACCACTCTGGAGTACAATTTGGAATTATGTCCACAGGGCTATAAAATTGTGCATATTCTTTGATTCAACAATACTACTACTAGGTCTGTATCCTAAAGAGATCAAAAAAAAAAAGGGAAAAAGACCTATTTGTACAAAATATTGATAGCAGCTCTTTTGTGGTGGCAAAGAATCAGAAATTGAGGGGATGCCAATAATTGGGGAGTGGCTAAACAAGTTATGGTATATGATTGTGATAGGAGGTTCTTGTGCTATAAGAAATGACAAACAGGATGGTTAAAAAAACCAAACAAACAAACCTGGGAAGACAGAGTGAAATGAATGGAACCAGAACATTGTACACAGTATTAGCAACATTGTAACAATGATCAACTGTGGAAAACTTATTTACTTTGATCAATATAATGATCCAGACAATTCCAAAGGACTCATGATAAAAAATGCTATCTATTTCCAGAAAGAGAACTGAGGGACTCTGAGTGCAGATTAAAGCATATTTTTCAACTTTCTTTATTTTTCTTGTTTGTGTATATGTGTGTTTTTGTCTGCAACATGGCTAATATGGATTTCCATATTATTTCCACATTTATGTTTTATATGAATTCACGTGTATAATTGATAGACTGACTGCCTTCTCGAGAAGTGGGGGAGGGGCAGGAGGGAGAGAGAGAATTTGGAACTCGAAATTTTAAAAAATTAATGTTTAAATTTTTTATACGTAATCAAGAAATATTTAATGAAATGAGTAATTTTTTTTAAAAGTTCTTGCTTTCTGTCTTCTTTTCTTGTTACCTGTTAAGTATTTGCCCTATTCTGATGTAATGTATAGTAAAAATCGTGAATACAAAAGTATAAAGTACAGCCAGTCAGAACACAACTCTGGTATGGTTTTCATAAAGAAGAAGGGCTATCTACTACTGGGCATTATACATCCAGAGTATACTTCCAACAGGAAAGCTAAATCATCCCCTCTCCCCTTAACCCCACTTTGCATCTAGGTGAAGGAGAGAAAAGAAGATTCCATGCCTTCCCCTCTCTGTATCCAGGGAATGCCAATCAGGAATTCAGAAAGGCTTTTCCTTTACCTCACATGAAATTTTTATTACTGATCTAGGAAAGCATATCTCAAACCATCTTTGGCCACCCTCCCTCAAGACTATCCCCTCTCCAAACCTTTCATAATGCTGCCATGTTGATGTTCCTGATATGCAAATCTGACCGTGTTCTCCCTTACTAGATAAACTTCAGGGGCTCCCTATTTCCTCCAGGAAAAAATACCAATTCAAATCCCTTCTTTGGTACTTAACTACCTGAGTGAGCCATAAAATGAAGGGATTGGATTAGATGACCTAAAAGGCCCCTTGCATCTCCAAATCTGGGCAGCTAGGTAGTGCAGTGTGAGCTAGGAATTAGGGAGACTCAATTTCACGAGTTCAAATCCAGCCTTATACACTTACTAGCTATGTGACTTTGGGTAAGATACTTCACTCTATTTGTCTTCATCTAAAAAATAAACTGGAGAACAAAATGACAAACCACTCCAGCAACTTCACCAAGAAGAACCCAAAATGGGGTCACAGAGGATTGTACATGACTGAACAGCAAATGTCAATCTATGACCCTGAGATTCTAATATTTTTTCATAAAAGACTAAGTACTTATAAGTAAGGAGCTGATTAGATGATTTCTAAAAGTCCCTTAGAATTTTATGAATTTCAGATATCAATGAATTTTATATCCCTGACCACTTAAACATCAATAATACCATGAAAATAATAACATTGTCATAGTTAACTTTTAAAAAATAATAAAAATTATAATAATGTCTCAACATATTTCCTTAAAACAACCTGCACTATTCCTGCTGATGGCATAGAGGAAATGGTGCAAACAAAAACTACATCACCAGTTCAAATTTTGATTGGAAACACTATTTCCATATTTAATAATATAGTTATCCTTTGTATAAACAATGAATATAATACATTGCTAAATACCTTTTAAATTTTTAAAAATTTATTGGAAGAAAGATGCTTCTAGAGGTTGTATCCTGGGCAACAGATGGCAATATCTGGTTACTCTCAAACACAAGCTATGATTACCCACAGTTACTTAAGGAGACCACCCTTACAATGAGGAAATATTCATTTTTCAGATGAGAAAAATAGGATTCTCAGCTATTGTTAATGTCCAAGCTCCATTGTTTTCTCTCTATGGAGGATTGCTTAAGTACCCACTGACTGTGCAAATTAGCCATATTAATATTGTCATAATTTATATCCTAACTGTCCACTGGGAGCAGTTCCTAGTGACTACGCTGTGTTTGACTTCTCAGCTCAGTTTCATGTTTTCTCCTCTTTTTTTTTTAAGGCAATTGGAGTTAAGTGACTTGCCCAAGGTCACACAGCTAGTAAGTATCAAGTATTTGGTCTGGGGCTGGATTTGAACTCAGGTCCTCCTGACTTCAGGGCCGGTGCTTTATCCACTGCTCCACCTAGCTGTCCCCTTTCTCCTCTTCTAATCATGCTGATTGGACACCCTGATCAGGCTCCCCAATTCATGATGCAATTTTCTCCAGCCACAGAGATCCTTTGTAAAGTTTCTTAGCTCACACTCTCCAGGTGAAGTATCACCTTCATAGTAGAAGACCTGCCCTGTTGCAAATAGAAAGGATGACCTTTCAGAAAACTCCATCTTTCACTGGCCAAAGACCTTTGAACTTGTTCAGGAAGCACTCTCCCTGGTCAATTATAGTTATCAAGGAAAACTGTCACTGATCTTTCTCCTTCTCTTTAAACAAAGTGCTAACATAAATGTTCAAATATCTTTTCACAATTGAGATATTCCCCATCTGCTAGGAGTAGGGAGCCTCCCTTTCTCGGTAGTACCTGATCCAGATAGGCATATGCCTTTCCAGAGGAGCAAACCCTCTTGACCCAGGAAAGATTAGGGCCATTTAGGGTCCCTTTTTCCTAGACAAAATGTGGCTAGAAAAACTCATCCTCTATGTTCAGCTGTCCCCACCTCTTACAGGCAGTACCATGTAATCCCAACTGAGATTTGTTATGCTATCCATTCTTTACCTGATGGAGACGATGAGGGAGAACACTTCCAATAGAATGGCGATGATGAAAATCACGACTGCGGCTGGTGGGGGAGGGGCAGAAGCCATCCCATGTTTTAGGAAGCAGGTGATGGACAGAATGAGAAAAACTGTTGTTGACAAAAACACATCCAGGAGGGAACTGAAGGTAGCACTGGCAAATGTCTTCACGGGAGAATTTTTTATAACCTGTTTTGAATATAGGAAAGAAAAAGGAAAAGCATTCCATTTCATTTCAATTCAATAAGTATTTATTAAGTACCTACTATATACCAAAAAATGAAATGGTCCATATGCCTAGAAGTTTACATTCTGTTGGAGAAACACAACATATGTACAGATAAAGAAATATAAAATATATACATAGTAAATATAATTTGGAGGGGTATGGGGTATTAACAACCAGAGATGGATCAGAAAAGGCCTTGTGTAGGAGGCAGTACTTATGCTAACCTTAACCAGAGCTAGGGAGTCCAAAGGCAAAGGTAAGAAAGAAGATTCCAGGGCTAGCTAGGCAGTGCAGTGGATAAAACACCGGCCTGGAGTCAGGAAGACCTGAGTTCAAATCCAGCCTCAGACACATAACACTTATTAGCTGTGTGACCCTGGGCAAGTCACTTAACCCCATTGCCTAACTAAGAAAAAAAAAGATTCCAGGAAGAGGAGGTAGCTTATGCAAAGGCATGGTACCTGGAAGTAAAATACCAACTTTGGGAAATAGCCAAGTAGGTCAGTTAAGCTGAAATGAATGATGGGGAATAATATGAAAACAATCTAGAAAGATAGATAGGAGTTAGAGTGTGAAAGAGTTTCAGTGCCAAACTGAGAGGTGTTTATATTTTATCCTACAGGCAATAAGGAGTTACTGAAGAAGGGAACAACATGGTTAAGACCCATGCTTAAGGATATCAATATGGCAGCAGTGTGGAGGATGAATCAGAGAGACTAGAGGCAAAGAAACCAATGGGGAAACTATTACACTAGCACAGGTCAGAGGTTTGAGGGCTAGACTAGGCCAGGGGGCTGACCATGTATATGGAAAGAAAGGGACAGATGGCAAACAATAAGACTGGGCAACTAATTGACTATGGGGGAGGGAAGTGAAGGAGAATAACTACAAGGCTTCAACTAGCAGAACATAAGCTATTGGAAGGAGCCTACATATAAAACAGGAAGTTAGGAAGAGAAGTAAGTTTTGGGGAGAAGATAATGAGTTTAGTTTTAGACAGAATTTGAGATGCCTATGGAACATGCAGGTGGAACTGTTCAACAGGCAAATTGTTGAATTGTTGGTATGAGACTATAGTTCAGGAGAAGAATAAGGCTTACACACACACACACACACACACACACACACACACACACGGCAATCACATGCATAGAGAAGCTTATTAAACCTATGGAAGCTGATGGGATTACCAAGACAGAGAATGTAAAGAGAGAAGACCAGACCTAAATACTGTTAGAAGAATTTGCTGCCAATACTAGAGCCATACCCCTAAAAGACATCTCTTTGGAGGAAAAAAAAAATACATGTTGAAAACAATATTGATTTACATATATGGCCAGGGTTTTTGAAAAGCAGACTTGTAAGAAAAACAGCAATCTATATTTAGACTAATATGGCACATTACATTGATTATATTACATATTACCTGTTCATTTAAATAAAGTATCAACTTTCGTAATCAATAAGTTTTCATAAACGTACTCAAGTTATAGGAGAACACTGATCACTAGAGCTAGAAGAGATTTCACAGACTAGACAGTCCAGTCTTCATTTTATACAGCTGGAAAATGAAGCTCAGAGAGTCAATATCAAGACAGACCATAACTCGTGTCTCCTAATTCCTACTGTTGTGTTATTTTTTCTAAAATGTACTATCTCCTTAATTGAAAAAACAAGTTAATAAGCTGTATTTGAAAAGGCAGTTACACTGAAGTATTGCACAATTAATGCAAATGTGTCACTGATTTCCAATTCACAGGTCTGGATTTGTGAAAGTTGAATCCATAGTGACTGAAGTATCATTCAGACTATAATATATACACTTTAGGTAACACAAAATAACCACTAGTACTTACAAGATTCTCCAAGAGGTAAAAGATGAACTAAGAGATATTTGGAACATATGTAGAAATCAAAATTTTAAGGGTCTTTCTCTTTGGGTGAGTACCATTTTGGCAAGGAGAGACATTTAATGACTTGTCTGAAGTTAAAAGAGAAGTTAAGGGGGCAGCTAGGTGGCACAGTGGATAGAGCACTGGCCCTGGAATCAGGAGGAACTGAGTTCGAATCTCGCCTCAGACCAGCCACTTGACACTTACTAGCTGTGTGACCCTGGGCAAGTCATTTAATCCCAATTGCCTTAAGAAAAAGAAAAAAAAGAGAAGTTAAAAGTAAAAGGCAATCAGAATTCGCACCTAGGTTTTTTGTTTACAAATCTAGTGCTGTTTCTACTGTATCACACTGATTTTCATCCTAATTTTATATATATATACACACACACACACACACACACATATATACATACATACATATATACACACACACACATATATATTACATACATATATACACATACAGCTGTGTAGATATGTAGATATGTAAAACTATATACACAAAGATACCTACTTTTAGATACACATATAAAAGAGCATTATCATACGGATTTTTTGGGCTCAAGATTCCTGTAACTAAAATACCCTCCTGGAATTTCCTGGACCTCCAGAGAATGGCCTAAATACAAATCATGCCACTCTGTAAGTCCCAGGATTCCATAAGCAGCCCAGGGTATGTCATGACTGAGGTATTCTGTTGGAACAGACACAGGGCAACAGATACCTAAAAGGTCTACTGCTTCTTTGATGTATGTTCATTGCCTGTCTGCTGCAATGGCATCCCAAGAATACTAAAATGTGGTTTAAAAAAAAATCCTTCTAGTCAGCTCAAATGGTGCATTTTTTCTTGGCTTTGTGATTTCTTGACATATGACTTTACCAAGTCTCCAGGCTCATACCACTGAGGGAAGAATGAAAGTGAGCTCACTACTTCGTATCACAAAAAATAAGATATAATAATAATCAATAGGAAAGTAGGTAGATTGTTAAACAAGGAATTTTGTTTCTTATTCAGGTTGGTTAATTTGCTCTTTGTCAAAATCCAGGTTGAATTATTATAATTCAGTTTATTTCAACAAACTGTTATTAAGATCCTAACATCTGTAAGGCACTTTAATGGGGAAGAGAATATAGAGAATAAATTATGCAAGTTAAAATGCTGTTATTTATTTACATATCTATTTATATAAATAATTTATTCAGGGTCAACTGGGGAGAATGGTCCTTACACAGAGAGGGCTCCACCAAGCTATAAAAAGATTTCTCAAAAAGGCAACTGACCATCCTGCACTTGTCAATTTAATTTATGAGATAGGTGCATTCTATAAAATTGACCTAATTCGCTCAACATTAGACACAAAGAACATCTCTTAACTTGAATTCCATCCTTATCGTTTTGCTAGACTGCCTCTCCAACCCACAGATAACCCTCTTCTCTGGAATGACTATCTCCTCAAATGTTATTCTTCAGGGCCCCATAAGTAGGATATTACTCTACTGAATTCCCTTCCACAAGCCTTTTTAAACTAACTTCCATATGCATGATAGATTTTCAATAGGTTTTTCTTTCTACTTATTCTACTTCCATATTTTCAAATGAATGAGTAAAATAATGCAAATGTGATTTTAATGTAATATTTATACTGAAAAACAAATTTTCTTCATATTTAGTTATATAAGTGGCTCTTATTTTCCTCTTGAAGAATACCTCCAGAGGGTATGAAACAAAAATCTCCATTAAATTATGACTTAACTAAATTTCACTGTAGGATATTTAAGCTCATAGTATAATGCTAACATGAACTCAGTTTCAAGCTAAAACTAATAACAGGGGAAAGGGGTCATGCTGGAATTTTGTTTGTATATTATTTCAAATAAATATGCTACTGGTTAAGTTTTTAGAAATGTTTCATGGGGTGGTACATAGGTGACTGGATTAGAGTAAAAAAAACTTTAATTCTAGTTCTTGTTCTATCACTTAGTAGCTGAATGACCTTAGGAAAGTAACACAATGTCTTTGAGCTTCATTTTCCTCATACGTAAAATGGGGATAAGATACTGCCAAAGATAGCCTGGGTTGCAGACAGACTAAGGCCAGAGATGTGGCCCAAAATAGAACTGAGGCCAAGAGTGGGGACTGGAGTTAGCTGTGGGTCTTTGGGGAAGGAGTAGGTCAGAGTGGACAGAAGCTTTGAGTTCCTGTGATTGAACCCTTCTTAAATTAGGCAGGTAAGCCAGAGACTTGACTACTGAGAAATTAAAGACTTGGCTGAAATGTGTTCAGAGGGGTAGGAGGGAAAACTAAATAATCAGAATACTTGGTTGAATGAGATAAGAGAGTCAGGTTCTAGGATATGGGTAACAATGTCTTCTGGGAGTAAGCAGGTCAGGGAAAAATTTAAAGAGAGGGAACTGCATCAACATGGCTACTTGGACTGGCATGTATATAGGGAAGGGAAAGAAGTGACATGTCTCAGGACTAAGAAATCAGAAGTGGCCAGATGAGTCATCAGCTGAGATGAGGTCAGAGACAACAGCTGGGATGCTCTAAGAGGGGCTCCTTGTGCCAATGGAGAGTTGCTGCCAAGTGTCTTTTAAGTGTGTAGCTCAGGGCTTCCCAGGCAGCTTGGCTCTTGGTGGTGGTGGTGGGAGGACTTGTTCTGCTCCACTGGGATAACATAGATCTCCTGGGTTTTATGACCTTTGGTTCAGTAGTCCTCCAAATTTGTCTTGGGTGATGGTGCCAGTATTTTACAGTGGACAAAATGAAGAGATGGGGCTGTCACAGCCTTAATGGGTACAAAATCCCTCAAGTTCCCAGAGTTGTCCTAGTACAATTGGTCTCCCAGAGCAGTGGACCACTCCTTTTGGGAATTTACACAGAACCTTCACCAACACTTGCCCCAACTACTTTCTGAGTTTTTGGGGGGGTTTTTTGTTATTGTTGCAAACCTGTGATTTCATCAGTTGGGTACTCCAAATGTAGAAATTTCCTCTAAAGATAAACACTGGCAAAATACACTGGCAAAACAAAAAGGGAATTACTTGGGGTACTTAGAAGATAAGTGATTTGCCTATATTCACAAAATCAGAGTGTGTTAGAGGCAGGACAGCAACCCAAGTATTCCTGACTCCAGGGCCAGCTTTCTATCCATTACGTCTTGCTGCCTCTTACCTTATAATGAGGTATCAAATAACATATAAAAGTGAAAATGCTTTGGAAGCTGTAAAATGATTTATCAATGTCAATTATCAGTTGTAACAGAATTTCTGGAAAATAGTAACAAAATAGTTATAAAACTATTTAGGTATTTACATATGAAAGAAAAAGTAGACAAAACATTAGTGAGGTACATAATATCATAATTCTTTATAACAAATTAGGATAATTCATATAACTTGAAATATCACTAAACAATGTTGCTAAACATTACTACAATATATACACAAAATTTCGATTGTGACTTACCTAAAGCCCCTTAATTCTAACTAGAAAAACTAATGTATATTTTAACAGAGGAATGATATATTCAATAATTGATTTTTGAATATCTCCTTGTCAACAATACTATAGTACATTAATATATTTGTATATATATACATATATAATAGATATACATATAATATAGATATATACATGTATATACATATATGTGTATATGTGTGTATTCAAACCTTCTGGGCCACATGCTCTGGAAAAGTTGGGCAACTTCTGATGGAAATTTATGAGACATAATCCAAGCTATTAGAAGTAGAAGATACCTCATAAGTATTTAGTTCAACCCTCTGATTTTACATGTGAGGAATCTAAGGCCTATAGGAGGAAGTGACTTGCCTATGATCATATAGTTAATTAGAAGCAGATAGAACTAGATCCGTGTCACTGATTTAATAGGTTAATAATCTAAATTATTCTGAAGCTGCTAGAAAATAGAAAGGATGAAAAATAATAAGCTAAATCACATTTAGGAATTTTAAAAGAAAAAAACAATTCTATTTGGTGTTAAAAGGATATCTTAAAATTAAGTTCTTTTAAATTTCACTTAAAACTGTGAGCATAAGAACTTCATAGTTGGTAAAAGGCATTATATGGCATTATTTAAAAAGTGGGTCAAGAACGAAAAAAAGTAATACAATTTTTTTTTCTGTTTATACTGTCATTGCAATTACTATTTTCCTGGTTCTGTTCACTTTACCCTGCGCTTTAGTTCACATAAGTCTTTTTATAGTTTTCATATTTGTCATTTCCCATGGCCAAGTAACATTTCATTACATTCATGTATCACAGTTTGTTTATCTATTCGTGGTTATCTATTTTGTTTTTAGTTCTTTGCAACCACAAAAAAAATTATTCTATGAACATTTTGGTATATATGATGTATAGCAACTTTCTGACTTTGATTTTGGCTGATGTATATGCCTAGCAATAGATTCTCTGGGCCAAAAAGTATGAACATTTTAACAACTTTTTATCATAATTTCCAAATTATTTTCCAGAATGGTTGGACCAATTCACAGTTCCACCAACAGTATATTGACACTTCTTAGTTCTATTTCCATCTTTTGTCATTTTTTGAAACCCTAGAGTTGTTTTGATTTACATTTCTCTTATTATTAGTGATTTGGAGCAATTTTTTATACTATTGTTAATAGTTTTCAATTCTTTTGAGAACTGTTCATTTTGTTGGTTTTATATAGCCTGGACTACTGCGATGGCTTACTAATTGCTCTCTTGGCCTCCAGTCTTCTTCCCTCCTCCTCCTCCAATACAGCCTCCACACAGTTAGCCAAGTTGATATTACTAAAGCATCTGTTCCAGAACTTCCACTGGCTTCCTACTGCCTCCAGGACAAAATATAATTTTTTCTGTTTGTCATTTACAATCCATCATGATAATCAGTCTAGTCCACCCATCCAGGCTTATTGTGCATTACTTTCCTTTATGTACTTTAAGTTCTAATAAAGAGTACTAGTTGTTATTCCCAATACATGATGTCCCATCTTCCATTTCTGTGCCTTTGCACAAGTTGCTCTCCCTATCTCAAATGCATTCCTTTCCTTACCTTCACCTCTCAGAATCCCTAGCTTTCTTCAAGATGCAACTTAAATGCCAACTTCCATACAAGTCCTTCCTTCTTATTCCTAGTTGTTAGTGCCCTAGCAGCACTCTGAAATTACATTTTATCTCCTTTTTGTTTGGTATTTCTTTATCTATAGACATGTTGTTTTCCCAAAATAAAATGTCAGCTCTTAGCCCAGTGCCTGGCTCATTGTAAGTGCTTTAAAAATGTTAGTTGAATTAAACTGAATTCAACTATTTACCAGCTATTGCCCTTAACCCAAACTCTATCCTAAAAAAACCTTCCAAAACATATCTATCTAGTCTTAAAAGTAGAGAGTGAATGGCATGACTCACTCAGAAAATGGAAGAAGGTAGTAGAAGGGATGTGAAAGCAGAATCCAACAATATATTGTTTTTAAGAAACATGAAATGTACAAATTTGCACCGAGTTAAAATTAAGGGTTGGATCAAAATTTACTAAGCTTCAGGTGAATTTTTTTTTTTAGCTTTTTGACTAGGCAGTAGAGTTAAATGACTTGCCCAGTCATACAGCTAGTAAGCGTCAAGTGTCTGAGGCCAGATTTGAACTTAGGTCTTCTGGGCTCCAAGGCTGGAGCTCCATCCACTGCGCCATCTAGCTGCCCCTCAGATTAATTTTTAAAAAGCAAGAGTCAGTAATAATGATTTCAGACAAGGCAAAACAAAAAACTGACTTAAAAATAGGCAGAAGAACTGTATTATGCGTAAAACTACCATAGATAATTAAATTACATCAATAATGAAAATATATATGTATCTAATGGCATAGTGTCTAAATACTTAAAGAAAAATTCACTGAATTATAGGGAGAATCAATAGCAAAAATATCACAGTTGCAGGCTTCGATATGCCCCTTATAGACCTGGATAAATCTAACAAAAAGCTAAATAAAAAAGAAGTCAAAGTCCCAAATAAAATTTTAGGAAAAAAGTCAGTTATAACAAAATAATAGATCTCTATTATTATTGAATTAGAATAGGAGGAAATGATTACATTCTTAGCTGTGCACGACATTTTTAAAAAATTGACTATGTGTAGAGCAAAAAACCCCAAACTCTCACAAATGAATGCAGAAAGGTAGACATGTTAAATATAACTTTTGCTGACCACAATGCAATAAAAAAAATAATCACTAAAAAGTCTTTGAAGAAACAATTCAAACTGAAGTGGAGATTAAATATATCAATCCTAGAGAATTTTTTGTTTCAAAGAATAAGTCATAGAAATAATTTAATTAGAGAAAGTGACAAAGATGAGATATTATACCAAAATTTTGGGGATATAGCCAAAGCAATTCTTAATTCATCAGCTTTTCTGTACATTACCAACAACCCCTCCCCACCAAAAAAAGGGAAATGAAGAAAAAGGAATTTAATTTAAAATTACTATAAAATGTATAATATATCTGGAAGTCCGTTTATCAAGACATACAGGAATTAATATGGCTGCCATTTTAAAATGCTTTTTACAGAAGTAGGTGGCAAATAATTGGAGAACTAATGTTTGGGTTGTGCTAATATAATAAACATTGTAGTACTAGTTACATTAAGTTACAGATTCAGTGTCATACCATACTACCAAAGAACCATTTTCTAGAACTAGACTAAATTATAATAAAATCTATTTTAGGGGGACTATTTATGGGGCTAAAAGGTGAAGAATCTCAAGAGAAATAGTGGGGGAAAAGGCAAGGAAAAGGGTCTAGCAATACCAGTTTTTAAATTATACTAGCAAGCAGCAATCATCAAAATTATTGGGCATTGGTAAAAACATAAAAAGACAATCAGATTAGGGATGCAATATCCAAAATATATCAGATACAGTAGCATAGTGTTCAATAAACCCAAGAACACGAATTACTGAGGTAAAAAAATTTTTTTTTAACTGCTGGAAAAGTTGGAAAGCAGTCTTGGAAAAATCAGGATCAGATCAAAGTGCCATACCATATAATATAACAAGCTCCAAAGAGATATATCTTTGCTTTCTGAATACAATTCTAGGTAATTAGAGGGATGAAATTTTTCTTTCCTCAGGGGATAACTAGATAGCAGGGACTGATAAAACGTCATCATTATTTACATTTCAACCAAGAAAGAAATGTTTTCAAGTGTAAAACTATTAACATACTGCACAGCAAAACAAAAAAGTGCCATTAAAAAATAAAGGAAAAGTTACCTCTTCCTGATAGCTAGTTCTGTAAGCCATCTCTAGATCTCGATCCAAGAAATTCAAACTTAGTTTATTAATAGGTGGTTTAAAGAAGTAGTCTTTCATCAGGCTACAAATGAGAAATGAGAAAATAATAATAGCAGTTATATTGACTACAAATAATAATGTAAATGGTTACAAAGATACCATTTATAAAGGGTGTCACGAAATAGAAATCTAAACTCACTGTATAATGCTTGTTTCTTAACATTGTTGTTTTGTCCCTAGACAAGTCCTTTGTATGCCTAAACATAAGTGTGTTTTATATTCCTCAAGTGCTAAAGAAATACCATTAGTTGTAGTCATAACATAGAACAATTGAACCTTACTCTGGAAAACACATTAGCAATATTCAGCATTATAAGAAAGTGTATACAGTTTATTTGTTATACAAACACCATATAAGACAATGCAAAATACTGGTGTGCTCTTTTCATTACTATGCTGAAAGTGTTTATATTGATCTGGATGATTCAAATTGAAATTAAAAAATAATTTTGAACTGGCAATAGGGATGGGAACTGCTGTACCTATAATTTCACTGGTGCAGGGAACTCCCGAGGAAGGAAATTCCTTCTATCAATGCAGGCTAGTCCTTTTTTTGCAACTTGTAGTCTTAGACAGTTGGCAAAAGTCCTGGGAGATTAAGTGATTTCCTCAGATAACACAGCCAGTAGATGACTTGAAACCAAGTCATGGCTCCAAGTTCATCTCTCTGACAATATCATCTAACTAATTACACAGTAACAATATCAACTAACAGTAATTGCCAGTGTACAAAATAGACATTACAGCTAAGCTGAATCAGTAACAGGGTGTGATTTTTGATACAACTGTCCTATGTGCCATCAAGACTGACAAGTTATGATAAAGCTCAATTGCCTGGTATAAGTATATACAAATCAAACTTGTACAAACTCCTAAACTACAACAAACAGAATGAAACAAACAAAAAACCCAACCTTATGTTCTTGAATGAATTACTAGCAATAGGAACTCTCCCTTTTATGTGGCAGAATAATTATAAAAATTCAGGTGGAGATGAACATAACAGTGTTTTATGAGATGTCCTCTCATTTGGGAGAGGAGGGCCCTTAAGCTGGGCACACCTATGGGTGTAGTGTGAGGAAAGGGAAAGGCCTTTTTCTTCCTGGGTTGATTCTAGCTCTGCCTGGACTTCCTACTCAATGTGTGGCCTTAGGCAAGCTCCTCCACCTCTGGGAGTTTTAGTTTTCCTTCCTTATAGCATGAGGATCTTAGGTCAAATGACTTCACAAGTACCACACAACTCTAAATTCCATGATTCTAATTAATCCAACCTTACTCTTGCCTTTGAAGATACCAGAATGAAATGAAGTCTAGAATGGCAGCTGTAGGAAGTCTGCAACACCGCCATGTTTTCTCCATTAGTTAAGAGAGTAGAACTGTAACATCACTAATTACTCCCAGTGCTGCACCTGCCAAACCTTGAGTTATACTCCTTTTTAAGCTGGGGAGTCTGCCTACAGAGGCTGCATTACCAAGTCACTAGGTATCCTCGTGCCTTGTAGGTGGGGTGGAACACTTACCCTTAATGCTAAATGTCTAAAGATGTTTTTATAAGGGAAGGTTGCTCTATGCCTTTAATGCATAAGAACTGGACACAACCTTGAAAAAGAAGCCATTTTTATTATTTTAATTCAAATCAGAAAGGCTAATCAATCAACAAATATTTATTAGGCACCTGTTATGTGTCAAGTGTAAATAGTACTATACCAGGATACAAATAAACTGAATGAAGCAATCCTTACCAGCAAGAAGCTTACAGAATTCTAGATGTTCTCTGTACCATCTGATTTCAGATACAATGCTGCTAAATATGTTACACCAGATAGAGGTGGGTAGAAGAGGAGTGTTCTATACCTCTTCCCTACCTCAATTAATGTAATGTAATCAGTTGTAAGAGCTTGGTGAATTTTTAAGTTTGTAAACACAATAGAGTTCATGCACTATGATTTTTTTAAGAGGTGTGAAACTCTTTGATTGGGTCAAGTAAGAAATAGCTTATTTGCTGACCAGGGCTAGCATCTGGGGGCTATAAATAACTAAATGACATTCAGCAAAAGTTCTCAGGCTTCTGAGAGGGAATCATTTTGGAGGGAGGAGTTTTTCCCCTTCTTTTTCCTCGGTTCTTCCTGCCCCTAGCATTGACCATATCACAGAAACAATGAGACCAGTAGGAGACAATGCATCCATGAGGTAGGTGGGGAAGAGAGAGGAGAGAGGAGAGAGAGAGAGAGAGAGAGAGAGAGAGAGAGAGAGAGAGAGAGAGAGAGAGAGAGAGAGAGAGAGAGAGAGTGTGTGTGTGTGTGTGTGTGTGTGTGTGTGTGTGTGTGTGTGTGTGTGTGACAGAGACACAGAAAAAGACACAGAGTGCAAAGATGCTGAAGATATAGAAAGATAGCCACTTAAGGAAAGAAGCAGCTTTAAGGAGAATAACCCCATGTCCTATAAAAGAATGGCTGGATAGTTCAATCCCCTTTGTTGTAAGAATGAGGAAAGTGAGGTCCATAAAGATTATGTGAGATTAAGGTTAAGAGGTTGCCTAAGTTTTACAGCAAATTAGCAATAAAATTCAGGTCCCAAAACAACACATTAGGATACCTCCCTTAAAATAATTACATGAAATAAAATTCTCCACTCCAAAAGTTCAGTGTCATATTTTGTCTATTTTCATTTCAGTTAGAAAGTATCTTCCAATTTGGAAAAAGGTATGGAGAATAACAATATAAGTCTGTAGGCAGAATACAAAAATAACCATATTAAGTAATTGCCAACAAAAGGAGATAAATCTGACTTTTGGGGGGAAACGTGGCCATAAAACAGTAGTTACACTTCCAAAAGTATAAAAATTCATACAATAATTTTCCCTTTTTTTAAAAAAATGTCGTGTGTGTGTGTATGTGTGTATGTGTGTTTATGTGCATGTGTGTGAGAGAGACAGACAGACAGACACAAAATTAGGGTTAAGTGACTTACTAGTGAGTCACACAGCTAGTGAGTGTTATGTGTCTGAGGTCAGATTTGAACTCAGGTCCTCCTGACTCCAGGGCCAGTGCTCTATCCACTGTGCCACCTAGATGCCCTTCATACAATAATTTTCAACATCATAGGTATTTCTGTACTTTCCCTTCCTTTTATGTCACTTCTAAAACATAATTTTATACACACTAGAATAGCAAGAAATAGTGTGTGTGTTTGTGTGTGTGTAATTCAATATTGGTGAGGCTGTGGAGAAAGCCACTCAAATACATCATTAGTAGGATGAGAAACTAGTCTATTTTGTATAGCAATATGGCAATACATATATATATATATATATATATATATATATATATATATATATATAATTAAAGTAAAAAATGATCATATCTCTTTAATATTCTGCTGTTACAACTTTATCCTAATAATATAATAAAAAGGACTTATTTGTACAAAAGTAGTCATAGCTACTTTCTATTTGTAGTAATAAAAACTGGAAACAATCCATATGTGTTAACAATTGAAGAATAGATGAAAAATATATGTTATATTAATATATTAAAATATCACGGTGCCATAAGAACAATAATTATGAAGCATACAAAGAAATACATAAAAAAGACCTATGAAAGTGTTGCAACATGTGGTTAGTGTAACTTGAAGCATACATGGTTATCTAAAGCATTTATTAAGTACTTACCTTGTGCCAGCCATTGTGCTAACAATATGTTTTTTTAAAGAGAAAGAAAATATTTAAGTCAAAGGTTGTAAATCTTCATACAAACTTGGAAAGGGACACAGAAAAAAAATCAGTTTGTTGCCAATTCATTTGGTTAAGTCTTGCTAAATGTTAGGAGTTTTATGTAATTTTGCACATTTATTTATTTTTGTCAAGTTTATGATTATTTTAAAAACCTCAAAAGCACTTTGTTTCCATATGACAACTTATGAGGAACTCAAGGGAAAGTTTTTTCTTTGTTTTTGAAATTTTAAGCTTATGCTATCAGATTATTTCTTTATTAGGGAGTATTTACTATAGTCACTTATTAGTTCGAATTAATAGATTCTATTTTCTATGTACATGAACATCATTTTATGCCCTTGATAGTTGCACCAAAATAGTTGTGCATATGCCAGATTTTGGCTAATGAAGTGAACGAACGTGTATAATGTGGTTTGCAAAACTTAAAACATTACATAAATGCTATTATTATTACCAACAACAATAATAATACTGCATATTAAATATACAATTTGGGAAGCCTGGGGATTTTTTTTTTAATCTTGAGAGGAAATCTTTAAGTGCAGAATCCTTTTGTAAAGTAAATAATTCCCCTTTAACTGTAAGTTCAGATGCTCACACGCTGGGTTTGCTCACAGTAGAGTCATCTGAATATTCCTGGAGAGGACACACATAATAAGGAACACCAGAAAGCTCCATCTCTGATGCCACCAGTTGGTAGCCCTGGACAGATCCCTTCACCTCTCTGTGTTAAGCCTCCAGGCTGCAGAACAGCTGTCAATTTGCATTGGTGCATCCTACACCAGTGAAATCATAGGTCAGGTTCTTTTTTTAAAAACCTTATTAAACCAAAAAGGAAGTATTTTTACTTTAAAAGTTTTACTATGATGAAATCACTTGCCCTTTACCTGTCTTCTTTGATAACATCAACAAAGTGAGCATCTGTCTTCTCTCGAATGTTCTTGAATCTCAGTGGAAGGAGAGCAGATTGGTCCAAGCTCACCCCTGCCCATCTTCCTTTTTCTTGTAACATCTCATACAGTGATGTCTGACTATTGGTGAGCTTCTCTTCTTGAGGGGGATTGAGAAGTCCATTTTGGGTCTTTGGACTATGTCCTCCAGAAGCCTGCTTCATAACAAGAATAATAAATACAGAAATTTAAAATATTTTGGTATAGACATATTATGTATATTTTAGAAGGTATGCTATATGCATATTTACATAAAGGCTAATGAATACATATTCATACTGATTGAAAATATATGAGTTCTTAAGGATCTGGATAGATTTATAGATGTTCAATCCATGAGAAAGTTAAGATACGTCCATGGAACAGCCCTGACCTAATACAACCATGTTTACAAAGAAAAAGGTCCTATGATACCACTGCCTGGGAGAATATTGAACTTAAGGAGATTAACAGTTTGATCATTTACAGTATTAAAAAGGTCATATGCTTTTGTATTAGTGAGTTTCTTTATATAGAGAACCTTTTCCAATATATCACCATATCCTTTTTGAAAATTCCTCCTCCCTTGATTTTAAAGACATTGCACTTTTCTGGTTCTCTTGTGACCTTTTTAAATGCACCTTCTACTTCTATTAATTCTTCTTCCTCTCACCATGTAACTGGGGGCGTCCTCTGAAGCTATGATCTCAGTCCTCTGCCATTGCTGCAGTCACTCCCTCAGTGAGCTTGTGCCCTCACTCTCAGGCTGCATCTGGGCTGATGATATTAAGTCAACCTCATCAGCCTAGCCTTCACAAGGGCTTCAGTCTCATTTTCCAACTGCTTTGGGATATGTGCACTTAGACGTTCTGCAAAAACCTTAAACCCAACACTTGTCAAACTAAACTCAGTCTCTCTTTATCCCATTTGAGTCACCCTTCCAAACTTCCCCATTTCTGAATAAGGGCTAATACAATGGATGACAGAGTTAGCTTTGTCTTTGTATCTCCAGCACCCAGCACACTGCCTCAGAGCAAACAATAAGTATTTGATAAATTGAAAATAATGTTAATCCTCAAAGATCTCAAGAAGCCAGAATATAGAGCCATATCTAACAAAATGAAGTTGAATAAAATGAATATAAAGTTTTATACTTGTTTTTAATCAACTGCACAAGTACACATGAAGAGAACAGCTCCACATAAGTCAAGATGTGACAAAGCAGCTGAAACACCTAGTAAGAGCTCTAGTTTTTGTAGAAGCACAGTATCCAGGAGGAGGGAAGCAACAGCTCCATGCCTGTCTACACAAATCAAATTAACTCTGGAGTTTTGTATTTATCTCTGGGCACCAAGCATCATGAGGTCATGTGACACAATGTCCAATATCAAGACTTGATGGAATTCAATTCAACAAGGATTTATAGAGTGTCTTCTACGTGTTAGGCACAAAGCAAGGATTACTGATACAAAAATTCAAACAGTTCCTATATTCAAGGACCCAATATTCTACTGGGGATATGTAACTTCTACATTGATGAATGAACACAAAATATATATAAAGTTATTTCCAAAGTCAATAGAAAAAAATTTCCTTCCAAAGTTGAAGAAAGTGGGAACCTTTAGTTTGAAGAAGAGAACATTTAGGTGGACCTGATAACCATCTTCACATAAATGAGGTATGCTTTTGAAATGTTGTTGATGGAAGAAGGATTCATTTCATTTTGCTTGCTTTCTTATAACTTGTTTCCATAACTACAGTAGGATCAATGGATGGGAGAGGCAGAGAGGCAGATTTAAGATTTATAAAAGGAAAATGTTTCTAACAGTTATTCAAAAAATGGAATAGCCTTTCTCGAGAGTTAATGAGCTCTCCTAACACTTTAGGTCTCCAAGCAAAAGCCAGATTAGCACTAGTCATAGGTAATGTAGATGAGCTTCTTGTTAGGGTAGAAATAGGACTGTTAACCCCAAAAGTCCTTTCTATCTGAGGGTCTGTGACTCTATAAAGGCCCCCTCTACCTTAAATTAGATTATAATAATAGCTTCCGGATTGGTCTCTCTCTTCTAGCCTCCTCTCCAATACAATCTATTTTGCATATAGTTAGAAAATTATTGTCCTGATTTCACATTACTTCCCTGCTTAAGACTTACTGTGGCTTCCTATTGCTTTCTGAATCATGTTCAGACTCTGCTTGGCTTTTAGGGGCTCTAGAATTTGCTTCCACCCATTCTAAGTCACCATCCTTGCTGCTTTTTGTTAAAACATACCCTATGATATAATCAGGCTGGTCTCCTCAGAATCCTCTGCACATGGCATAGTCATTCCAATCCAACAATTTTGTTATTGCTGCCTACTTTGACTGGAATGTCTTCCCCATCATCTTCTCTTATTGAAATAATCATAGCTTTCTGCAACCATTTAAGGTTTATAAAATACTTTTCATACAACACTAAGTAGTGCAAATATTATTATTATCATCATTTTGTAGATGAGTATAATGAGGCTCAAAACTGTTAAGTGACTTGCCCATAGTCAAACAACTACTTGAAGTGTTAGAGCTATGCTTCAAACCTAGGTCTCCTAATTCTAAGTCCAGCGCTTTCTCCGATACTAAATTGTATTTCCAATTATAACTCACATTTAAATACCACTTTAAGATTTTCAACAGCCCCTATGTATTACATAGAGCAAATATTAATATTACCATTTTATTTGTGAAGAAACTGAAGCTTAGAGAGGTAAACTGAGTTGCCCGTGGCAATACAGGTTATAAACAACAGAAATGAGATTCAAACCTAATTTTCCTTTTGAGTCCAGGCATCTAATATGTGGCCCTGGAGATTTACAGAAAAAAAATTAACAAAGATAGCATAGTTAAATTAGGCGGCCAGTATGACCTAACCACCTGATTATATGGATGAAGGCTGGTTAATATCTAGATCTACCTGACTGTAAAAGTATATTCTCTTCTATGAAACTCCTGAAACTAAGAATCATCGTCAATGATATAAACCTGGAGTCAGATGAGAACAGTGAATCAATTCAACAGTTCTTGAAAATATGGTCTGATATTTGTAACTAACTTATTCAAAACTGCTCAGTAACTCACTCTAGGTAGAGAGAGGGGGGGAAAGTATTTATAAAGTACCTACTATGTGTCAGGCACTGTGCTAAGTGATTCTTGAGCAAATATTATCTCCTTTGATCCTTACAAACAAATCTAGGGGGTAGGTGCTATTATGATCTACATTTTATAGATAAGGAAACTGAAGCAACAGAAGTTAGGTAACTTGCCCAGGGTTACACAGCAAGTCAGCATCAGGGGCCACATTTGAACTCAGGTCTTCCTGACTCCAAGCCCTGCACTCTATCCACTGCACCACCAGCTGCCTTACCTAATTACACATTAGGTGTATATGCACTTTTTTTGTGAATCCTGTTGAATTACAGACTTTTAGTGAACTTTAAACTCAAACTGTACTAGAACAATAATCTTCTTTACTCTATATATCTAAAAGATGGTCATCCAGTCTTTACTTACAGACGTCCCCACTATCTCCGAATTCTATATTTGGGTAGCCTTCATTGTTAATAAGTTTTTCCTCAGATAAAGCCTGATTCTATTTCTTTTTTACTTTTGACTGTATTTATATTAATCCTCTTAAAAATCCATATTTACAAATAATCAATAGACTTCACAAATGTCTTTAATTTAAAAAACATCAATGTAGCCCCTGCACATATGGGTATCTGACATTATGGTTCACTACTAAAAAAAACTTGGATGTCCCTGGCTCTAAGGCCAAGCTTGAATCACTTCCTTGACAGATCTTCCCCTAATTTGTTAGTGTACATTAAACTATAAACTCCAATAGTACTTATAGTGAGTACCATTCAGATGAGCAATTAATTGTTTTCTATTTCACATATGGTGGTTTTGTTTCTCCCTCCCAAAACTGTGAGCTTCTGGAAAGCAGGAAAATGTTTTATCCTTAATCTGTACCTTGTACAACATGGTACTGAGCACAGAATAAAAGCGTGTCCTGCTCTTGATAGACTCATTCAGAACCAGTGGGACTGGAAAACCTTTTGTGACGTTACCTAATAGGAGATCTTCACCTGCTCAGAACCAAGCAAATTAAGATTTACCTTAGGAAGGTTCAACAGCAAAATAAATGGAAAAAGGGGAGCTATAACAAGAAAATTACCTTGGCATTATTTTTATGCTCATCTTGAGAGCCATTTTGAATTGCTCCTTCTTCAGGACCAGCTTCACAGTTGGGAACAAATGTAACACCGCATGAAGGACATGTCTACAAGAAGAAAGAAGTTCAAAACACATCCAAGAAAAATCACCAGTATACAATTCAGTTTCACTGCTATCTGTAGTCATATAAAATCGTTGTACAAAAATGGAAAACATTTAATTCAGTCAAAGAGTACTCCAGCCAAGATGGCAACATGGGGGGTTTAGCAGGAAGGCAGTTTCACCATAAACTTACCAAAAAACAACAAAAAAGAAATGCTAAAGTGAAGGAAAGCAGCTTTAAAAAAAAAAAAGAAAGAAAAAATCAATCTAAATTTAAAACATTCAAAGCCAAAAAGAATACTGGTAAAAAAAATTTTTAATGCCATAGGAAAACCATACTCCTAAAGTCCAGATGCAATGCAGATGGAAAAAGAAACAATATAACTGGAAAGACATCCTCAAATTACAGAAATTATGCCACAGTTAACACTAAAAAGAAAATTACAAGACCAAATAGAACTTGACAAAAGTTTAAAAAATGAGATAAAATCACAGAATTAAAAGATGCAAACCCCCCCACCCCGAAAAACAATAATAAAGAAATGACCAGTATGGAGACTATCATAGGAAACTTAAAAGAATAAATAGAATCAACCAAAATCTGACTTATTATAATGGAAACTAATTTTACAGTAGATTTAATATAGTCAAAACAGAACTGGAGGAAGTAAAGGGTACAGAAAATCACTGAATTATCAAAAATTGGAAAACATAGAATCAAATGAAGAACTTGGAATACTATCACACTGAACAAATCTCAGGATTTATGACATTCCTCCCAATTTAGAAAAATAAAAGAAATTAAATGGGACATCCCACAAAATTGTCAAAAAAAATTTTAGAAGTCATTATACAGATAGAAAGAATTTACAGGACCCTACCAAAGAAGAATTCAATTCTCAATACTCCTAAATACTTCAGTTAAACGCTTACATTCTAACAAGGAGAAAAAAATATTTCAAGCTTCCTGAAGACCAAAACTAACTACCACAGGACATTAGTCAGGATCACAGTAGATTTCTCAACAAGGACAAAGGCAAACTGGGGAAAATGCAATAAAGCACATATAAAATTAAGAAGCCTAGGCCATAAACCCAGCCAACCCATGTTACCTACCAAAGTTCAGTATGCTCTTTCAAGGCAAGAGATGAACATTTGAAAAGCAATTACATTCCCAAGGTTGGCAGAAAAATATCTACTTCAAGGAAATCTTCCAACAATAGCCAAATTTCCAGTCAAAAATGGTAAGTACTCAAAATAATTCATACTTCTAAAATCAAGATAAACCAAGTGCAAATTACTAACAAAGAACTAAATAGCCTCTTAGGTCTCTTTTAGCTCCCAGTCTATGATTCTAAATGCCTAAAAGTTTCATAAAGTTGTTTCAGAGAAACAGAAAACAAGTAGGAAAAAAGTCCCAAGAAAGAAAAGGGAATAAGAACAAGATAATTCTAAAGCAAACCTATAGCTTTGATAAAAGTAAAGATTCCTACACAATTACAGAGTGGTTTTGTTAAGTCTTCCTGATTTCAGGCCAAGCTCTATCCGCAGTTCCACCTAGCTGTCTCTACCATAATTAGATAGATAGGTAGATATATAAATAAATGAACAAAAATACAGACAAATGAATGAATGAATGAATAAGTGAAACTATATACCAACTTAAATCAGTAGAGGGCTAATTTTTTAATGCTTATTTTTAACATTTTTTTTTAAATTTTGAGTTCTAAATTCTCTCCTTCCCTCCAGCTCCTCCCTCACCCATTGAGAAAGCAATCAATATGATACCCATCATACATGTAAAGTCATGCAAAATATTTCCATACTAGCCATCATGTACAAAAAAACAAGAAAAATAAAGAAAGTAAAAAAATATGCTTTAATCTAACTTAGAGTTCTTCAGTTCTCTCTCAAGAAAATGGATAGCATTTTTCATCATGAGTCTTTTGGAGTTGTCATGATCACTATACTAATCAGAGTAGCTAGGAGTTTCACAGTCAATTATCATTACAATATTTCTGTTACTATGTACCATGTTCTCCTGGTTCTGCTCACTTCATTTTTCATCAGTTCATATAAGTCTTCCCAGATTTTTCTGAAACTGTCCCCTTCATCATTTCTTATAGCACAATGGTACTCCATCACATTCATATACCCCAGCTTATTCAGTCATTCCCCAACTGATGGACAGCCCTTCAATTTCCAATTCTTTGCCACCACAAAAAGAGTCACTATAAATATGTTTGTACATATAGGTCCCTTTCCTTTTCCTTTGATCTTTTTCAGGGTCAGTTTTATAGTCCTTTGGGCATACTTCCAAATTGTTTTCCAGAATGGTTGGATCAGTTCACAACTCCACCAACAGTGCATTAGTATACCTATTTTTACATATCCCCTCCAGCATTTACCATTTTTCTTTTCTGTCACATTAGCCAATCTTATAAATGTGAGGAGATACCTTAGAGTTGTTTTAATTTGAATTTCTCTAATTATTAGTGATTTGGAGCATTTTTTTCATATGACTATTGATAACTTTAATTTCTTCTTCTGAGTAGGAGAATGGCCCCAGCTTGGTAATCACTCTCTCACTCACCTGTCTTCAAGAAGGATACCGGATTTGGAATTATATCTATTCATTACACAGATATTTGAAGTCTAGACATATGATTCTTTTAGGGGATCAGGATAAAAGCCACTTTTGCCGGTCACTCTGTGGGCAGGTATTTCTTCCCCAGATCTGGAGGGTAATAGCTTAATCTCAGCTGACTTGAAACAGTACCATGAAGCACTTATTATACAAGTCAGGTACATATAGGAAACAAACATTTATCAAAGCAAGCAGAGAAACAGTAATGGGAAAGTTACCTAGATTAAGCAATGGAATATACAAGAGTCAGGGCTTTGTGATCAAGGTGTAAGAAGACATTTCAGCTTAACTGGGGAGAGAATGATCTCAGCCTACAAGTCTATTCTCAAGAGCTTCAGGACTTATGGGCATTAGGAACCAAAGGACCTGCTGTAATGTCAGCATGGGGCGTCCGTGTTCTCTCATTCACTTGCGATCACTATTCCAAGTTGTTACCATGCCTCTCCTTGCTCTCTCTTCCACTCTTTGCTTTTGCTTATTCCTCCCATTAGTCTACCAGCCAATCAGCTGTCACCTTTCCCAGCACATAAACAGCATCACAAGACCATTCTTCAGGGAACAAGTCCATGGTGCAAAGAGGGGTTAGCCCAATAAAACCGGGCTCCTTTCCTACGGAAAGAACTAAAAGTGCCTGTCCAAACCCTTTGTAGGATTGTGTGATGGAAAGAATGCCAGGTTGGCAGGGAGGGGAGATTGTCTCCATCTTGTCACTTACTGAGCACATCACTTCACTTGTCTGGGCCTTGGTTCCTTCCTCAGTAAAATGAAAAAGTTGGATTAGATTAGGAGTTCTTAACATGGGATCTGTGAATTTTTTTTCTTTTTGGTGAGGCAATCGGGGTTAAGTGACTTGCCCAGGGTCACACAGCTAGTAAGTGTCAAGTGTCTGAGGTCATATTTGAACCCAGGTCCTCTTGACTCCAAGGCTAGAGTTCCATACACTGCACCACACCTAGCTCCCCCACGAATTTGTTTTTTTTAAAAAATATTTTGATAATTATTCCAACATAAATTAATTTCCTTTGTAATTCTATGCATTTTATCTTACGCATTTGAAAACATTATTCTGAGAAAGTGTCAACAGGTTTCAACAAATAGCCAAAGGAGTCCATGACACACACAAAAAAGGTTAAGAACTAATAATAGCTTGTATCATTCTTATTTTACAGACGAGGAAACTAAGGCAGACAGTAGTTATGTGATTTGTCCAAAGTTGTATGACAAGTAAGTATTTGAGGCTGGATTTGAATTCTGGTCTTCCTGACTACAGGTCCAGTGCTCTGTCCATTGTGCCACCTAGACGCTCTCTAAGATCCTTTTTATCTATATAAAACCAATAATTTTATGACTCCCTAACTTCCCAAAGAGTGATCTTGTAGGCACTTCAGATGTCTGAAAGTGATGTCGCCATCTCAAAAGCCTTGCAGCTAGAGAAGTTTAGGAAGGCATAGATGAATAAAAAGGACTCATAGGCTACTGGTACAGTAGCAGAGGCCTTGCCAGAGCCCAAAGATTAGCATAGCACTTTTGCTTATAGCACACAAATTCTTTCCTAATCCTATTGCCTAGATTAATATGGTTTTCCAGTTAATCCTTCAATCTCTTCTTCTCCTCTAATCCACCCTATAGATTAATTTTTTCAAAGAACTCTGATAATGCCACTTTCCTATTCAAATGCCTTCAGTAATTCCCCATTGCATATAGAAGAATGAAATGCAAATTCCTTACCTGGAATTTAAGGCCCTCTAAACTATGACCCCAACATATTTTTCTTGTCTCTCTCTTCCATACCCCATACACTTAACATTTTCTGGGCTGTTCTCTGTATACAACCCACACTTTCCTGACTCTGTCCCTTTCCTAATGTTCTTTCTGCCAGAAATATTCCTCTCTTTCATCTCCAGCCTTCACAATTCCATCCCTCTTCCAAAAACCTGCTGAAAAGTCACTTCTTCCTTGAAGACCTCTAATCCTCCAGAGCTCTTTGTATCTTTCTCATCAGAGGCTGCCAGGTATGGTAAGTATTTGTTTTATCCTTTTGACTAGGTTTTAAGCTCTTTAAGGCCAAGGATTCTATCTTACTCATCTTTGTATCTTTCCTCTTTATAGTGCTTGAACAAACACTTAAATGCATCTGGGAAGCTTACTACTTTAAAGGAGTGCTTTGAATCATCTTGCAAGGTGGACAGCCCCTTTGTTATGGAATAATCACTTTCTAATCTATCTGTTTTGGAAAACTGCTATATATTAATCAATCATACTTTCCATGTTATCAGGCATAAACTTGACATTTATTTTATAGGGCTAGAAAAAAAAAACTAAATTTATTTGAAGGCACAAAAGGTAAAAAAATCTTA